TAACAATATATTATTGTATCTGTGCTATGCTTAACTCCAACCTGTTTATGTGATTTCTTGTTCTAACGAACTTCAAGGCAAAAACAGTGTTAACATACTATATGTAGTGTATCGGTATCAGGGTAAATACAATCACAGTAAATAAAATCTGTAGACAGTAGGGTAATCATATGCCAGTTCAGCAATCTAAAGTACATATTGCAAACAGTGCAACAGAAGGGGAAAACTCTCAGGTTACCTGCTGTCCTTCCATTCTCTGTCTAGCTTATTGAAACCTTGTGAACCCTACTAAGACACATCTCTCCACCCGAGTCTGTGTATTATGATCGGAACCAATCTTTCACAGTATTTTTGCAGGTGAGGATGGAATTCTGTTGCGTTATCCTTCTCTCCAAATAAATGGAGGTGTCCAATGTTACCTACAAACACAATGGTCCAGTAAAGATCACATAGTAAAGGGCAAAGGAATCTTTGCGTTGTTCCATTATTCAAAGGACAGGTTATCCAAAAACTACAATTCTGTCTTCATTTAAAAGTTTTTCTATTCTTACATATTTTATCTTTATCTTTTGCATAAAGATAAATATTTTGCATCTGGCTGCACTAATACTGTCAAAAACACACAAGGTTTACATATAATCACAGATGGTTATGTCTATAATTAAATTAAACAGTTGAGAGAAAAACGGCTGCGTGCCAGTATATTAGATGCGTGCAGGTCTTAAAGCGACAGTACTAAACATGATGCCGCTTGTCATTAAAGGGATAGTTCATCCAAAAATTAAAATTCTGTCGTTATTTACTCACTCACATGTTGTCCCAAACCTGTGTTAATTTCTTTCTTGTGCTGAACACAAAATATATTTTGAAGAATGTGGGTAACCAAACAGTTGTTGGTCCCCATTGACTTTGATAGTGGGGAAAAAATACTATGGAAGTCACTGGTGACCATCAACTGTTTGGTTACCCACATTCTTCAAAATAACTTTTATGTTAAACAGAAGAAAGAAACTCTTTTAGGTTTCAAACAACTTGAGAGTGGGAATCAATGTAGGACAATTTATACAATTAAGTGTATATAGTGTTTTATTTTCATATTTGTTCATTCAGTTTCTACTGCTAAATACACCTACCATACCTGAAAAATAAAGTTTTATTTGTTTTATTTGTATATTATGTGTAATTGTAATGTATATCTTTGTTCTTATTTTTTATTAACGAAGATAAAATAATGACAGATTTTTTTCTTATAGATTTTTTAAAATAGGGAAATGAGTTTGGCTGTACTGCTCAGACAACTTGCAAAATAGTAAAACCAACATGAAAAAGAATCATGATAAAATTGTGAATCGTGATTTTCCTGAAAAAAATCGTGATATGGTATTTTTGTCATATCGCCCACCCCTGCATAAACATCAAGTAAAGCAGAAAAAAAAAACATGAAGGTTTAATATAATCAAGCTCACATCCCTCACTGCTAAACTTCACATACCCTCATAAAATGTTTATGTAGCCAATATTTATTGTTTCTGAAAAAAACAAAAACATTAAATTCTTAGAAGAAACAACTTTTACCTTGGTAGCTTAACTTTATTTTTTACCAGTGACATTTGTCTCCGACTACAATTTATATTTGCACTAGGGCTGCACGATTAATCGAATGCGATTGTCAATGCGCATTTTGATAGTAATGCCGGTTCTGTAATCAGCAGGAAATCATCATCACGTGCTTTCAGATGGAGCAGAATTTACTACACATAGCCGTAGTTCACTGACACAAAAAAATAAATAAATCGCAGACGATTTTATTGCGCGATTATGAAATCGAAAAAATCGTTTGTGATAATGACAGCTGTTTGCATAGCTTCTCAGTGAACTAGCTCTGTGTAGTAAATACGCTGCTCCATCTGAAAGCATGTGAATACCACACATTTAATAACATTTTTACTCCAAACTCACTTCATAACATCAGTCGAGTGTTTGAAATAAATCTTTCTGTGAGATGATGTGGTTTCTTACACAGAATATGGCACGCAACATATTTCATATTATTTAAGCAGTGATAAAAGATATTGCATTATAAATATACTTTATTTTAATAAAAATTATAATAATAAGAACCAAGATTAACCGTATATTGCCGTAGTCGTGTGTTTATTAGTCACGTTGAATCAATGAAAGCAGTTGAATCTTCTGTTTATTCAGCTGCAGCGATAGGCATTTTCTGGGTTTCTTCTGCGAGGCGTATTTGGAGTTTCAGCGCGAGAGCGCCTTCTGGCCTTTGGATGGAGATTTACTGCTGATCACAGAACCGTGCTTCACTGAAAGATAAGCATGACAATCGCAGCTTCTGTCGAATCGCGATCTCGATTCCATTTCGATTTATCGTGCAGCCCTAATTTGCACTTTTTGATTTCACAGCCTATGCTTACACTGAGAGTTGTCAACGTAAGTGACATTTTATACAAGTAATCAGCAGCTAGCGAAGCACTTTACATTCATTACTCTTGAACTTTGTGGAAATTAGGTGCAACACTGAGTATAATGTATGAGAAGAGGGTGCATACATACATTAGATCTATCCAAAATAATGTAGTGAGAATATAGACTAATTTATGATTCCCTCCAAATACCTGAAGTCTGGAATCTGGGAATAGCTACTTAGTCCTGCTTATTTAAGTAATAGTATTAAAGCTTTGCACTTTGTATTGTTTGAGAGCTTATGCTTGATTGCAAAGCACACTAAGGAAAGTAAATATCCCAATCAAAAATAAGTTATGCTCTTTGAAACAAATCTTCTGACATGAACCCACATGAGGGTGAGCAAATTATGACTTTTTTGGGGGATGAACTAAATCTTTAAATCTAGACAATAATCTAAACATTCATAGAAGTTACTTAACTTCTCTGATCCATGCACTTGGACATCAGTGCACACTAAGGTCGGCGCTATATTGAGTTCCAACAGGTCAAAATGTAGCCTTTGCCCTGCAGCTGTTTTTCTGTGAATCATAACTTTACATGCACGCAAATACACAGGCACACGCGCGCGCGCGCGCGCACACACACACACACACACACACACACACACAATCATGGGGATATCCTGCACACTTCCCCCTTCCAGTGAGTCAAATGGCCTATTTCCACATTAACAGCACGCATACAAATGAAGCTAAACGTTGCCAAAAACTGCCGGTCCATTCATTCACTCATGAAACTCAGAGTACCCCTCAACTGAGTAGAAACAAAAACATGGAAATTCATCATCATAAAAGCAAACCATTAAATGTCAGCCAAACATGCAACAATCCACATGTTCCTAAAATACCGTGGCCCAAAATATATTTGAACAATTAAGAAATGTATGCTGTTTCATTACATAGAAATATAATTCATGTTACTCTTTTTAAGTGTGACTTTTTATTATATTTTAATTACCATATTTTGTAGTGTGGCCAAAGTGTCCAAATACCTTTTGAGAATACTAGTATAGGCACAACACAAAGTCCAAAAATGATATCCACAATGTTTTTTCTGTGCATTTGAAACACAATAAATCACATAAAATGAGTAGTATGATGCATAAACAAACCAGACGTCATAATAGAAATCCTTTCAGGACAGAAAAAAACAATGGTTTGACTGAGTGCATACCTGTAAATTGAGCCTAAACGTCTAGATCAGGGTTAGGCAACGTCGGTCCTGGAGTGCCGATGTCCTGCAGAGTTTAGCTCCAACCCTGAAAAAAACCGCACCTGCCTGTATCCTTTAGCTGCGTCCGAAATCGCATACTTCCATACTATTTAACGGTCGAGTAGTACGTTCAAATTCAAATGTAGTACCTACTAAGCAGTACGCGATTTCGGACGCACCCTCAGTAATCCTGAAGACCTTAATTAGCTTGTTCAGGTGTGTTTGATTAGGGTTAGAGCTAAACTCTGCAGGACATAGGCACTCCAGGACCGACATTGCCTACCCCTGGTCTAGATTTTAATACTATGAATAAAGCCTGAGTCACATATTGAGCCATGCTTATGACAGGATGTAAAACGTGTTAAAGCCTTCCTGCTCACCTGTGTGCACTCACACACCACTGCATTACAACACATGTTCAACTAAGCAAATGATTAGTCAGAGTTATGATGATGAACAACTGGTATGAGCAGTATTTGTAGAATATTTCATGTTTTATGTTTACAGTACATTAAAAGACACTATCCAGTGTTCAATGTTCCTCACAAGTGTTCATACAGTTACAGGCTCACCAACACTGCTGTTAGACAACAGGACATAACTTACCACTGCATGTGCTGAGACTGTTAACTAGAACGAATGACAGATGACAAACCGAGCTGACACATTTTAGATGGACTGATTGATTTTGTAAACTAGACCGGGTAATAGCACAGCACTTTGATATATGCCATGGTACTGAATGAATATTATACTCCTATACTATCATATCTACCTGGCTCATTTAAATACATAACCATATTTAAATGACATTTTGGCAAATACCATAGTGTCCTTGATGTACAATTCAAACACTATGGTATATGAATATGGTTCTGCCATGGTACCATCAGACAACCATGGTGCATGTCAAATTAACCATTTTAATAACATGCTAGTTTTATGTTAGTGTGACAGCAATCCCTTTGAAGTGCCTTTGAACAGGGAAGATGGATTAACCACATATGTTTACTATATTACACGTAAAGCTAAATGTATACAGTCTTTTTAACTAGTAAATGTACTCATATATCCGAGATGATCAGTCTACGCACATTTAAATGGTGGTTTGAAGGGGACGCACATCACAGGGCGGCTGGATTCACATCTATCAGCAGCCGGCCAACCACAGAACTGTTGCCAACCCTCCAAAACAGCTGGAAAATAACTTATTCTGAGGCTACAGGCAGACTCCAACCCCACCCATGATGTTGGGGGGTAAATCAAAGCATCGGGTGTGTTATTTCAATCTGAGAGGGACTCACCTTCATGTCGTTCATGATGATTTGGAAGAGCCCTCCCAAAGCGCTGCACTCCTTCTCCAATCCCGCATCCATTTTACCACCCCAAAAACACACGCGCAGCGGTGACACTTATCCTCCTTGTGAAAGCTATCGTCGAAACCCGCTGTCAATATCTGAAGGGTGCGGTACGAGGCTGTTTTTAAAGAATATCGTGTGAAAAAGGCAAAAGAGAATAAATTAACGCAAAAATAGTGAGTGTTATTCCGCTGATTGGCTGCCCAGCGCAAGTAAACTAGTCCCGGCCACGCAACTTACTAAACCTCCGAAAATACATCGCATCGCCACGATACAAGTGGATAAAAAAACCTAAAAACGGGATTTTTGACAATAAGTCTCCAGGTCGAAAACGTGCCACGTAAGCACAGGTAAACCCGCAGGAAAAACCGACCGTTGGAAGTCTGCGCCAAAGTACCTGGCTCGGCGTTTTCAAAACCTTGGCTCTGCTGGATCGATAGTCACGTTTAGTTTAGATCGCGACAACCGCCGTGTTTTTTATTCCTCATGGTTTCATTCAGTCGATCAACCCGCTGATATATCCCTTCTGATGATTATTTTGAGCGGTTGCGGTTTGAAAGAGCTTTCCGGGTAAAATTAATAAAGCAAAACCTGACTAAAGTTTCGACTCCTGATAGATTCCACAGAGTGAGTGGAAAACATTCGCTCGCTCGCTTTCTAACCCGTTTGTGTGCATCGGCTGGCGATGAACTCGAAAAAGGGGCGGAGCATTAGTACTTCGGAAATGTTCGTGCTTTTCCGTTTCTTTTGTCATCAACATACAAGTAGTTATGTATGTAAATAAAAGAGATATACATCTATGGCCTCATAACAATTATTTAGAGAACACACAGAACTACATCCTGTTATATCTATCTACACACAAGTGAGCTGGTTTTCAAGGATTCATATCATCTATGAGTCAGCACCATTGTGATCTTGCCCAGCCTTGTGCTGTTACCTGACATTATGAAATGAGTCCACCTCTGAGCTCAGGTCTCATAGCAACGCAGACATGATAAATTCAGCATCACGTCCTCTAGTGGCCACCTGTCTGTCTGTGGGAGAGAGCTGAGGTCACCTTGTTCAGCAGTCTGCAAAGATGCAAAGAGCTTCCCACACAGCCTTTATGTGCCCACTTCATAGCACAAACATCCAGACTCACAAAGTCAGTGTATTTTGAGTGTTGCTACGAAATCAACAGATCAGTTCACATATACAATAATACGTTTCGAAATAAGTTTTTTTTTTTTTTTTTTTGCAATGGTTCATAATTAAAAATAAGGAAAGTAGGGATTTTTAGAATTCATTTACAGAGACTGCTCTCAAAAACAGCCACTTCTGACCGAAGAAATATTTCAGAGCTTTAATTACATTAAATTATATTCAGCATCTTACAAGGCATTCTTCTAAACATGACTGCAGCACTACTACAGATGTCCTTGAGCTGTAGTAGGTGCTTGCTACCATCTAGTGGTGAAACTTTAGTAATGTTTTGCAATATATGTGATGTAATACCAGTGCATTACAAAAAGTGCGGTATATACTGCATATACAGCCTATTATTATTATTATTTTTTTTTTTACATCATTTTAATATTTATGTATATATCGTATATATATTTTTCTTTCATATTACCACTTATTAAAAAAAGCAGTGAAGCAATATAAGAAAATATTTTAAGAACTTTTGACTTAAAAAGAAATAATAGAATACATCTATCAGTGTTGTTTAACCAACATGCAGAAGCCATATTGTTATCATGTGACCCTTTTATGGATGGAAAAGTATGAACAATGTATTAAACACATTTCTAAAAACTTTGCACTTTTTTGACCAACATTCTTAAAACTGCAGAGTAAGAGTAGCAGCCCTAGACAGACACATGAAGGCACAGTATTGTTTCCAGGCTCCATTTTTATTATTTTTTATAAATAGTATTTGACTGCAACCCATGTAGATAAATTATACATATTTTTCTTTCAAAAAAGTACAAACGATTTTAACATTTATTACAAACATGTTTAATCGGAGCTGCCAGGGATCATAACGTACATGCAAGTAATAGAGCAGAATTAGTTTTTAGATTTAAAAAAAAAAGTTTCATATCACAACGTTGAATCTAAAATCATTTTTCATAAAGGAACAAGATATGCATTTAAATTTTACAAAATTTTAAATAAATGTACAGTTTACTCATTGCATCAAAAGGTCCTCGAGGCCATATATTTGGCCCATGACAGTTAAATAACAGCGTTAAATAAGCTTATATAGGATTAATCATTCATTCAAATAATGTCCTGATGGATCATCATGTCTCATGCAATGTTGCTAGCTTCCATCACGGGTGTGCAAAGGCCCTCTTGTGGTCAGTTTTGTAAGTGCAGCCTGACCTCTCTGAGGTTTGGCTTTGGTTAGTAACAGCAGCATGAAACAAGGACGTCTTATTAAGAGCCCCAATTCTAGACACTCAAGTCTGGTTTGCTGGTATAACCAATGGATTCACTACAACTGTATGCTTTACTTGGGAAGGCAATGTACGGAAGACAAAAAGTTGAAATGCTACAATGATCTTTCTGATTTTTTTTTTCGGTCCACTATGATTTATACATTCATTGAAGAGGACAGTAAGAGTGTTAGTACAAACACTGATACAACAGCATCATTTGCTTGGCAAAGATTAGTTTTGTGTTTTCCTTACATGAAGGAAATTTTAGATTTGAAAACACGGAGATTACAAATGTTAATAATTTGGCACAACAGAACATGATTGCTGTGAGAACATGAGTAGTGTTTCGAGTGAGCAGCCATGAACAAAATCCCTGAAGTGTTAAAGCACCCGGTGTCTGTAAACTCAGATGAATGTTTAGAGGCGGGTTAGTTAGCCATTAACAACAAAGATCTGTGTCAGTGCATTTGCACGTCTACATGTAAGCACTTGCAGTGGGAGGCCGGAACAGTCAGGAACCATTCAACAACTGGTTCCTCTGTGTCAGTCGGAGCAGAACCACTGAGCATTTTCTGCCATGTATGTGGCGTTTCTGAAGGATTCTGGAAGTACCAGATAGCTATATATCAAAAATAAAGTCAATGTCTTTTCATGCTTCCAATGTGCAGTTGGTCAGTTGAATATTCAGTGAGCTTGTTGTGCATTTCTCTTGTCGTTTTTTACTTCGTTTTCGGGCGATGTCACACACTATGGCCAAAGCTCCGCCTTTCAGGAACCGCACAAAGTTCTCACCCACCAGTGGACCCATGGCATACATCCCTGGCTCCTTCACGCACTCATATTTGTATGGATCCACGTCTAGCGGGTTCCGCCGACAACTGATTGGCTCTTCTGAGTCCAACGCCAGTGGGCGACCATATTCTTGGAGGAATGACAGGTTGGGATGGGCACCAATCAAAACGAGCGCCATTGAGACTTGCAGCACTGTCTGTAGCCCTCTCTCATCCTCTAGCACACACTTGCCATCAGGTCTGAAGGCAGCTACATGATGCTTTGGGAAACTGAGGTAACCAGGGTAACAGGTATACGGGCTGGTGCCATCAGCAGGTGAAGAAAGAGGTTGGTTGGACAGATTAACCACAGTCTCACCCACTTTGTGCTGCTGTTGGCTCATCATTTGGTGCACTTTGTGGTACTCAGGGTAGAGGAGCTTGGGCAGTTGGTTGAAGATGAGCGCCGGATCACTCACAGGTCGCCTAAAGGCGTGATATACAGGTGTGTTCAAGTGGTGTGCTGCGAGAACGGCATCTGCCGCCGTCAACCCAGCACCAACCACAAGAACCGGCTCTGAGGCACGGTCCAAACGGCCTGAGGAAATGGCAGCCTCCAGCTCCCAGAAGCTGTGGCAAACGAAGGGAAGGTTTTCCCCATCCACGCCGAGACAGGCTGGGATGTCGTGGGTTCCTGTGGCAAGCACCACGTTCTCTGCATAGACTGTGAAAGGGACTTCAACTACTTCATTTCCTTCACCACTACTTGCTCTTCTCTGGAGGCCTTGGATCTTCCAAACAGAGCAGCCAGATTCAAGGGAAACCCGAGACACTGAGGTCACGGTGGTGCCACAAGCAAAGCTCTTCTCCAGATCCATTTTAGCCACATAGTGCTGATAGTATGACGCAATCTCAGCTGGTGTGGCCCGGTCATTACGTAAATTTCTGCACACACACAAACCAGTATGTTAGAAAATTGTTTTGTTCATTTTGATAATTTGTAACTTCCTAAAATATTTATACTCATTGTGGCTCAAAACCATGTTATTTACATTTTAAGAGAAATTAAGATAATTATGGCTCACTTAGTTATACTCCTCACATTATGTTAGGAAAGTATTTTAAAAGAAAAATGTACACAGAGCAGCTGCAAGTCACCTAATAGTTTCAGTTTAGTTCTAGGACTAACTCAATGGAGGAATCTTATTTTTATCTCAAGATGCCACGAATCTTGTATGAAAATGAATGTTGTATGAAAGATGAGCCCTTTATTCTCTAGACTAATTTTATTTTAATGTTTCAGTTTCATTTCTTTATACCTTCGTTTATCTCTCATCCAGTCCTTCAGCTTCAAACCAGGAAGTTCCATCCAGTTAGCCAAGCTGAGTGTCAACATTGAGCCCTCCATCGCCTGCAGGCATCAAGCATAAGAAACAACTTCACATCTTGGTATGAAGCAGGAAAAGCACAAGAATAACATCTGATCAACTGGTACAAAACTCCAATAGAAGACAGTGTTGCAGTTGTTTTCAGGCATGCAACTAATAATCACATGAGTTCTTTCCCATCTATGTTTTCTTCCCACAGGGCTGTACTTGCAGGGTTTCCCATACATTGACTTATTTGTGGCAGCCCGCCACAATATCAAAACTGACCGCCACAAATAGATTTTCCAAAATGCTTTGACTTTGTTGAATAAGCATGAGCACTACACGTTTCAAAATCAAAACGCGGCACGGGTGTTTTATATAAATGTATCTTTTTTTAAGGGAACTGATTGTCTTCAGAAAAGTTTTGATGTCATTTTCATTTCATCTTTCCTATAATGCCTGCTAAAGTAGTGTTCATGAGCACAGCGCTGCTTTGATTACAGCCGTTACCAGGGAAACCACTGTTTCTGCCGCTCTTAAAGCGCGTCCTGCTGGCAGAGAACTAATTTGCACTTTCAATAAACCCGTCTTCTGTTTTATATTTACATTACATACACATATAATGGCGTTTGGTGTCGTACTGTATCGCGTACCTTGTCAGTGTCGTGCGCTTTGCTTGGCCATTTGTTGGGATAAACAGGAAAGTGTGTTCAAGCGCCAGCAAAACAGTGTAAAGAAATAGTCTTTGTGAGAAGCAGTCAATCAGCAGAAGTTAAAAGCAGCTTGTAAGTGTATTTATTTCTTGTCTCAGTGTTTAGCGCAGTTGTCGTTGCTAGGAAACACTTGTTTTGTTTACTGTGGAGAAGTGCTGAAATGACGTTTGGTGTCGTACTGTATCGCGTACCTTGTCAGTGTCGTGCGCTTTGCTTGGCCATTTGGTGTGATAAACAGGAAAGTGTGTCCAGCTGAATTCAATTTGAGTTTTGTTAAACTAATTAAAAAGAAGCTTAGTTTACCGCGAAAGCGGTCGCGGCTGCGGTCGTGGTAAGACCGAAGAGTGTAAAGACCATCGACTCTACCATGCGACT